GTCTGACAGGTTTGGAGCTGAGGGTAGGGCTGCTGCATCTGAGAGAAGACGTCTCGGGGAGGGGGAGACCTGCTACAGGGGCCGGGTCTCAAAGGGAGTAGGAGCTGAGATCTATGGGGAGCAATTTCCTAACGCAAGACACCTTGAGTTGGGGAGGCTTGTTCACCGGAGCTCCTGGGTTCTGCTGGGTTTCAGCTCAAGCCTTGCATCCCCATAACTATGCAGAAAAGGCAGGGAAGGGGTGAGCCCCTCCCTGGAATTAGTTGGTTATTCATAGATTCTAGGACTGGAAGGGACCTCGAGAGGTCATCGAGTCCAGTCCCCTGCCCGCATGGCAGGACCAAATACTGTCTATGTTCTGGGATTGAGGATGACTCAAGCTCCCCAGCTCTTGACTGGCTGGTGCTTGGTGTGTGGTGGGGGGAGGTGAAGAGGCTCCCCTGAGCAGGACATTAGCTGATCCATTCTCTTCCCTTCCAGGCCGAAAGATGAAGCCTTTGCTTCCTCGCGTCAGCTCCTACCTGGTTCCAATCCAGTTTCCTGTGAGCCAACCTCTCCTCCTGCAGTCCTCCCTGAAGGTGCCTCAGCCCATGGCCCAGGGAGCCTCCCTCAGTGGCTCAGAGGCTATCCGGAGCAGCAAGCGTGTACGCATTGCTCCAAAGGTTAGTGTTTCTGCTAGCCTTGGGCTTCTGTGGTGCCAGTCTCCCCTGCTCTCCATGGGGTTTTCTTGCTCACCCTCCCTACTGCTGTCAAATGCCCATGCTTGCAGCGGTAGGACTGGAGCTGGCTGGCACTTGGCTACACCTGCCTTCCATCCCCCATTCCTAAAGTGACTGTTCTCCTCTAGTTGTCTTGTCATGGGTAGGCTGCTTTTTAGTTAACAAAGGGATTCTCCTGTCAAAGTGTGAACCAATGACTCCTCTAGTGTCCAGCCACAATGAACCAGAGACAGGAGCAACGTGGATTCTCTCCTTTTTTCAAGCCTTCATTCAGTTCCTAATGGAACTGCATTGCTCTCTTGACCCATTCTGATCTCCCTTAACATTTTGAAGAGTGTGGTTTTTGCCTCTTTCAGAAGCGCCCAGCTCTCCTCACTACCTGCATCCCCCAACCATAACATTCCTTGGGTTCACAGCGCCTCCCCAGAAATAATGCTCTCTAGGGACACCATCTGTTGGTGCTGTGCCAAGATCCTTCCCGTGTGCTTTGCCGGCTCCTCTCTATCTAATCGTGTTATTTCCACTGACTTCAGCCATGTGCCTTCCTTTCCCCCATCGCCCTCTCCCTGGTCCCAAAGTTCTACTGTCTTTCTCCTTCCTGCTGCATTTCCTGCCCTGTGATTTTTTTTTTTCTCTAGACCCCTGCTTACTCACTGTAGTATGTCATTTCTCACTTCTTGCTTCCCATGTAGGTGTTGCCGTCCACTGAAGAGCCATCCTCATACTTGCCCACGGGGCCTGTGAAGGAGAAGAGTCACTGTGATGAAAGGCCGCCCCCATTTGCCCCAACCCATTCTCTAAAGGAGAACAACTCCCAGCCTGGTGAAGCGCCAGCCTCTTGCCCTGCAGCCCTGTGTATAAAGGAGGAGAAGGAGGATTCCTATCCTGACAAATGGCTGCCCTCATTCCCCCCAGTCTCGTCTATAAAGGAGGAACCAGTGCAGTCTGATGAAGAGACAGGCCTGTTGCTCCCAGTACCATGTGTGAAGCGAGAGAAACACTTTACCATGCTGAAGTCCCCGCCCCGGGGCGTATCTGACACAGTGATTATAAAGAGGCGGAAGATGGGCAGGTCCAGAAGGAAACAGCACCTAGTGCTGCCTTGCTCAGAAGAGCCAGTCCTGGTTCTGCCAGAGAGCGGTGGCTCTGACTCCTTCAGGCTAGCGTCAGACCTTCCTTTCCTGCAGGAAACCCAGTCTCTAGAGCTCAGCTGCTCCCAGGAGGAGGGTGGCCCCTTTAAAACACCAGTCAAGGAGATGTTCTGCAAGCTGCCAGTTTCCTCCACCCCTAGCAAAGTCCCAACTGCTACTCCACCAATGGGGGGCCCTGACTCCTGGAGACTTGCACCCATCGCTAAGGAAAGTAGTGAGCTGGACTTCAGCCCCGTGAGAACCCCTCAGGTGCCATTCACATCCCTCCAGGAGAACTTGGACTTGCTGGGCTTCAACAGCACTCCCCTTAAAAACTCCTTGTTTGACTCCCCTCGACAGCTTCTCCAAACAGAGTCCAATGACATGGTTTCCGGGCCCCTCACAAGCTCTCCTGCTTCCAATCCTGAATCCACCAAGCAATCATCCCCGGAATTGCCAGCCTCTGGACTACCTGAGAATCAGTCTCTCATGGAAGGCCTGGTCCTGGACACCATGAACAACAGCCTGAGCAAAATCCTGCTGGATATCAGTTTTCTGGCCTAGAGGATGACATCCTGGGGCCAGAGATGAGCTGGTCTCAGTTTATTCCTGAACTGAGATAGGCTGTGTTTGGCTTATTCCCAAGCTGTAATGGACACTGGGCTCTACTGAGACTTGCTGAGATGGGATATGCAGGGGCCCATAATGTGGTTTTGACTTATTCCCATTGGGAATACTGGGCTGTACTGAGATCTGCTTGGCTGGAAAACAGACAGGCCCATTGGCTGCTATGAGTTCGCTTATGAGCTGCAATAAATATTGGTCTGGGACAGGCTGAGGCTTATTGGCTGGTCTTGCCTCAGGCCTGAGTTAGTGGAGAAACAGAGTCCCTTGTGAAACGGTTACAAGGAAGGTTTCCAGGTGGGTGCTGAATCACCCTACCATCCAAGGGGTTGGAGACTATGAGGATAGGCCCCTCCAAAGTACATCTTCTGGAGAAAGAAAAGTCCCAAGCCTTTCCCAGCTCTGTCCTCAACAACTCTCTCGTACAATTCCCTTCCTTTCACAGTGCTCCACTTTCCTGAGGTGTCTTGCCCGTCATGACTCTGTAAATATTGTACATTCCTTAAATTAGTTTTTAATTATAAATGTCACTTTATTCTTTTAGAACTTTTATGGGAATAGAAATGGGTGGTAAAGGGCTTGATTTGAAGCACTGTCCCTGTCTCTTCCCCCTGAATGAGGTTGAATGCCTAAGATGCCATTTTTGGTCTTCCCTCACTTCAGAAACACATTGGTATAGGACACTCTGAATGTTGGCAGGGGCAGAGGTTGAAAGATCACCCCTCCGCAAGTGTGTGCCTATTCCAATTGCAATTTAACAGCTTGTTATACTACAGCCCCGCTAAACCCCTTTGCTTGGACTTTGTCTCACAGATATGTCATCCAGGCTGTGATGGTGAAGAGCAGTTGCTCTTAAATCTAGGTCTGATTTCTTGGGTGCCACACACCAGATCCCCGACAATGTACGCTTGGAGGCCTAGCTACATTTAGTGCTGCAGCTCAGATTGACATTTAGCTGAATGCTTCAAGCCACCCTAATCAGACCCAACAATTGAAGTGGTTGAGAGGAATTGTAAGATGGATGTTAAAATCTTCACTTAAAAATATGCCGTCTCTTGAAACTCACTTATGTATCTTCCACTGCAGTGTGTAATAGGGCAGCTGGTGTCAGTCCTCTGGTGTTTATGTAATAAGAAGGAATGTGCCCTGGAAGGACTTTAGAAGGGGCCTTTGCTCAAAAACAAAATAAGATGCAGACGTACCTCAACCAAACCGTTTCCCTTTCCTGTCTATAAACTGGGGGTGGGATTGCTGGGCCACGTGCTGCCGTTGCTGCTTTCAAGGGTCAGAGTCAGCACTGCTATTCTAAGTTTCTCGCTTGGTGTGACTGCTTTTTAGCAATTCACTCACAGTTGACAATGCAACAAGGAGTTAATTTCCCTTGCCTAATATTCATGCTCTAGCACTGTGACTCAGTTTTGAAAGCAAGCCCTAGACTAATTCAGGAGGTATGTGGGGTAGAAAAGAACTGTGGGGGGAAGGGAAAGAAGGATGAGTCGGGTTCTGTCCTGCCAATGTTTGGGAAATCCCACAATTGAGGGCGATTCCTAGGATCTGTTCTGGTAGCTGTCCAGAGCTGAAGGCCCAGACAGTTAGCTGCTGCTCTTAGCTTTTTTCCTCCTCAGCTTTGAGAACGCCAGGATCATGGTTTCATACAGTCACCACTCCCCACTTCTCCCCATCTGAAATGCTGCTTAGCTTTAGGGGCCAGTGGGAGCAAAAACATAAGTCTTTCAAAAATAGAAGGGTGAGGTGGGGGAAAAAAGGAACAAGCAAGGGACAAAAGGAAAGCAGCAAATAGCCAGGAAAGAAGTGAGATGGTGGCAATTGTATCCACCCATGGAGCAGGGAGACCATCCACCAGTGTATCACATGTAGGAGCTCCAGTAAAAGATTAGGAGACACTTAGCTAGCCCCAAGCCACTGTTTGGAATTCTAACCAAAGCATGTTTAATAGAAAATTTTAATAGCGGATCCGAGCCTTGCTTCAGTGTATTGTCTCTGATAGGTTAGTAGCAAATGCTTTAGAGGAAAGTGCAAGAAACACCACACTAGACCATTAAGAAATAATATGCCCCCAGGAGAAGCACTCATACAATTAGATGTTATCCATATGAATGTCTAATCTTTTTTCCTGAATCCTGCTAAGCTGTTGGCTTCAATGACATCCTGGGTCCCTGAGTTCCAGAGATTAACACAGTTGGGGGCGGGGGAGGAATAACCTGTTGTAATTTGTTTTTCTGTTTTATATAGAGCTTGATAACCTTCCCCCACCTCCCCTTTTATTTCTGAAATCTAATTTTGGGAGATAGAGGTGCAAGGGCTCTGTAGCCTTACCAATAAAACAAAGGGAGGATGGGAGACTGGTGTTTCTATTAAGGTGGAATCATACTAGGGAAAGCTTAGATTAGACTGTAAAACCCCACTAGTTAGCACTAGGCTTTGCATTTAGAGGGACACAAATCTCAGGAATTTCTAACAATACCTGGTAGTATCCTTCTAACCACAAAGGCTGGTGCTAGCCAGTGGGACTTTAGGGTCCAGTCTAAGCTTTCCCTAGCATGATTCCACCTTCATGACACCATTTTCCCCTCATCCCTTTGTTTTATGGGAAAGGAGACAAAACCCTTGCAGCTCCATCAGATAACATTCTCAGAATTTTGTCTATAGCTTCAGACAATAGAGTGCTGAGTGTGACCCAGTCCTACCCATCTTAATTAGTGCACTAATGATTTATGAACTGTAGGGATTTTTTTCCATAAGGGAAAATTATAGAAAGTAAATATGAAAGATATTAGGTTCCAGATTGTCCATGTCCTTGGGGCCAATGCAGGACTGTTTCCTCAATTATGGTTTCTGTAGTCTAGTTGATCTTGTCTCCAACCAGTATTGATGGGTAAACCCTACCTTCATGAGCTTTTATTTGATAAAACTAATCTGTTTGGGGTCCCCCAGCCTGCTAGTTAAGTATATCTCCCCTGTCTTTAGAAAACTAATTCTACACAAGTTTTGGGTATCCCTCCTCCACTTGAGACTTAAAAGTCCATATTTACCTCTATACCTTTTCAAATAGTGCAGTTATGTTCTTTCATGCCTTTTCCTTGGTAGTCATTTGCCTAAGACCTACATATTTAGGTTTGAATCCTTCCTCAGATGTCACTCCCAAACTATATAATCAGGTTTGTTGCTGTTGTTTTCTTGACTCCCCTCCATCTACTCTGTCCAGAATAAAATATGCCAAGTGTGATCACACTGTTATTCCCTTCCACCCCCACACTCCATGATGTGATATCTACAAATACAGCCTAAAAGCATACCTGTGATTGCATACTCTTTTGGCACACACTAGAGAGGAATTATATCAGGTGCAGCAGCTTCTGTTCACTAATGCACATTCAAATAGAAAATGCAGAAATGAAAAGGGGATACAATCAGCTCTCACTGGTTTCAGAGCAAAAATGCAACTGTTCATTAATCAGTTCATGTTGAAATACTAAATGGAAGAGCGAAGTTCTGACGGGTCTAAGTAGACAGGCAGGAGACCTAAAGGTGAGATTTTCAAAAGCAATGCAGTGCTTGCCTAAAGGGAATTTAGTCATTAACTGCAATGGGAGTAGCATTAGACGAATGCTAAGTGCTTTTGAAAATCTCAGTCTGTATGGGCAGCAAAGAACTAAGCACGTGAGCCTGTCAGAGAGCTGTGTTCTACTGGACTGAGCGTGTGGTTGAGAGGCAGCAGCCTTGAGATCTATTCCCACTTATTTTCACCTGTCTGTGCCTCAGAGATTCTAAAGCCAGACAGGACCCTTATGATCATCTAGTCTGACCTCCTGTATTTCACAGGCCAGAGAATTTCACTAAATGGTTCCTGCGTCAAGTCCATAACTTCTGGTTGAGCCTCAAGTTTCCTCCTCTCTAAGGAGGAGATAAACTTGCCTCTAGCGTGCTTTGAGGTGATGAAGTGCTACTTAACTGCTAGGTATTGCTGTTACTCTGAAACTGAAAAACATTCAGTGGGCAAGAGGGCTCTCTTCTTTTTAGTTTACCTGCAAATGTCCTTTCAAGGTTCCTTAGTTCATCTGCTCCTGCTTCAGCCCCAGCTGAAGTCATAGTTCTCTGTACATGACATCACAAGTGGCTGCTGTGGAAATTGATCTGTGCAATGCAGCTCTCAGGTAGGAGGAGATCCAAGGCCCAGAGATAGATGGGAAAACGAGAGCATGAAGCTAAATCCTAGGTCTGCACGGGGGAGCAAGGCATGGAAGGAAGAGAGGGAGCAGGAGTGAGGCCTGCAGAGGAGTCAAGCAGCCATTCATTGTTTTTCTCTTTTGAATATTTTTTAGCCTTTGTCATTCTTTCAGCCTTTGCAGCGTTTTGTTTTTGTTCAAATGAAACCCCACCATCCGCAGTTCTGGAACTGGGTTGGTAATACGCCTGAAGGAGAACTTTAGAATGTCTCTCAAAATTATGACCTAGGCATCATTGTCTAATTGCAAATCTCAGAAGGTAAACGTCTGTGGGGAAAGTCTGGACTGTGCTCTATTGCCATCAGCTTTATAGAAAATCTGTGGGTAAGTATGACTGTACTATAGTCGCTATAACAACAAGTAAATACACAAATGCCACACACAGCTAGAGCTCTGCGGACTTCCTTACATAGGAAACGGGCTATGTCTGTGAGAAGAGAGTCACCTCACAGCTCTTCTTTGGGATACCCAAGAAGGTGAGATCTTTGTGCCCAGGTTGCCTGGAGAAAATATTCCATGAAAAGAAACAGTGACTTCTCCCAGTGTCTGGAAGGGTGCTTGTGGCAAGACAGTCTCTTTACAATCAGCAAATATTACTTTTGTTCCTGAAGTTCTTCCTTTATGGAAGAGACCTACTGATCTGAGAGAATGGTCTTTCCGTAGCTGGGGACCTAATTCTGTATTGAATTCCACATTGACAGAGAAGATCTCACTTTCTTTTTCATTCCAGAAGCTTAAGTACAATTTCTCTAGAACCCTATGGGTATCATCCCTAGTCCACGATAGATCATATTTCCTGAAGGGTTCATTTCAAACTAGGAACTGAATAGATGCCTAGAGCAGGATTGGCTTCCTTTCTCCCCAGAGTGGCAGTCCACAATACCTGCAGAGAACAGATTACTCGGTAAGATGCTGTGCAGGACACATCTCTGCAGAGTGGCTGTGGGAGGCCTGTGCTTGCATACCCCATTGCAACGAATCTTCTGTAATTTGTGCTGTTTACAGCAATGCTGGTGACTTTTAAAGATTTCTCATTTGTTATGGTAGTGCCCAGGGGCTAACTAAGAACAGCGCCCCCTTGTGCCAGGCACTGTACAAACAGAATAATAGAAAGTCCCTGCCCCCAAGGAGCCTACCATCTGAATAAAGAAGGTAGACAAAGGGTAGGGGAGAGGGATAGAGCATACAAGCAGAGTGAATGATGAGATGGCACCATTTTTAAAAAATTTGTTTTGTTATTTCAGCCCTTTCAGTGTTCGGAGAGGATTAGGTAGCTGGCAAGACAAAGGAGAAGAGGGGGATGGAGGAGTAGAGACAGTTAGGAAGGAGGTAGGGAGGGGTCACAGGGGAAGGAAGGGAGGGGCAGGAAAGGATAGAGCAAACAGCCAGTCAGCACAGGGAAGAGAGTGGTGAGAGTGCAAACTGCAGAAAGCTGTTTGATGACAGCATCTGGTCATTTGGTCCCTCAAGAAGGTACAAACCTTCACACTAAGTAAAGTGAAGTGACAGATACTCCCTCTAGTGTCAGGTGCCCTCTTCTCCCCCCTCCCTTGGAGGAAAACAGGTATCTCTGCATTGTGCTCTTTAGTGAGATTGTCCCCATGGAAACTAAATTTCTAGCAGTACAGCATGCTAGTTACTGGGACAGTGGGTGAGGTGGAGAGTACTTTAAGCCTTGCACTACTCTGTTTATAGCAGTGGGAAATGTTCTGTTTCTCTTCTAGTGGGAGCCAGCAGGGGGGTGCAGGGCAGGACTGAGGGGCATTGCCAGAGCTGTGTAGGGAAAGTTTACAGCTGAACACTGCAAATTGTACCTGACTTTGCCCACTGTATTCAGGAACTGCAAGCTAGGACAAGAACATTGGGATGGTAGAGATCTTTACTGAGGGCTGGTTTTATCAAATGTTTTCTCCCTGCTTTTTCCCAGCTAGGCCTTGTCTGGGATCTCTTGCAGATGACCTCTTGGGCAGAGCGTGAGTTCTTGCGTAAAGAGAGGCGTACCGCATGGCCAGGGTTTTCCCCAAGAGCTTATCATAAACTGGCAGTTGCAAGACCACCATGCACAGACATCAAGATCAAAGTTAATCAGAAACTGCGCTGCCCCTGGGAAGACACTAGCCGCTGGCACATCTGGGGATACCACACCTGGCTGGATGTAGGGAGGCTGCCTCCACTCTTCCCATCGAGGCCGGACATACCTTATGACAGCAATGTGTGGCGATGGATTACTGCTCCCAGGACATACTGCATGCCCCAGCCGCCCATCCCGCCTCCCTCAGAGATGGATGGGAACACTTACCTCAAGTTCATCGCACAGGGAGCTCTGTTTTTAGACAAGAAACATACGGAAAAAGCTGTGGCCCAAATACAGAAAGAGCTACAGGAATGCAAGCGACTAAAGATGATGAGCGAGTGCCGAGCTCCCCCCATAAACAGCCAGGGAAATATTTTGCCTCCTCAGGACTTCAACCGGTAAGGAGCACTGATTTCCCCGTGCCTCATCAGTTGCTGTGGAGCATATGGGAGGGAATGGAAACTTAACCACCAGCTCACAAAGGATTGGTGTAAAATAGGGATAATGGAGTCATAGATTCTAACACCACAAATGTTAGATATTAGGGAAATCTTTCTAACTATGAGGGTAGTTAAGCCCCCCTCACTGCAGTTTTTAAGAACAGGTTGGACAAACAACTGTCAGCGATGATCCAGGTTTACTTGGTCCTGCCTCATCGCAGGGGGATGGGCTTGATGACCTCTCAAGGTCCCTTCCAGCCCTACATTTCTATGATTCTGTCATGTAGTCTGACCTTCTGTATATCACAGGTCACCAACACCACCCAGCCATCCCTGCACCAAGCCCACCAATCAGAATTAGACCAAAGTAGGCCATCCCTTAGGAGACAACACTTCTCTGTATCACTGGCAGAGAACAGGAAGGATGGAGCAATGGTCCCTGTAATGGCTGGGAATTCGTGTAGTGAGCTGAAGACAGATAACACTCCCCTTCCTTTGGAAAGCACTGAGATGTTATAGATGAAGAGCTATGGCAGGGGAAAAGAAATAGAAAGGGAGCCTCCTTCTAACCACCTTCCCCCCCGCCCGCCCCCCCCCCCCCCCCCGGAACGCTGGAGCCAGGCAGTGGTAAGAGCCAGCCAGGGAGCCTGGGCTGCTGTGGGGAGCCCAAAAGCAGTCCCTGGCCAATGTCCTCTCTGGGGCTTCCCACAGCAGCTCGGGTTCCCTGGGTGGCTATTACTATGTCCTGGCTCAGGATTCCAGCCTGACCAGGGCCCTGCAGGGAAAAGGAGGAGCAGGAGGCAGTGCCCCATGGTGAGGGGGGTGGGCGGGGGCAAATGTTCTTTGTACCCAGGGTCCCAATAAATCTTAATCTGCCTCTGCCAAGGATAGCCTGGTTCTCTGAAAGGGTTAACCTTAATTCTGAGGAGAAAGCTTAGTCCCTACTGAGCCGAGCACCCTGGGCTTGAGTTCCCTGAGCACTCACTCGAGTAACGCTTTAATCCTTGGCATGGAATGCCATTGCCAATGTAGAGCCAACACGTTCAGCAGCTGAGCTGCAAACACCATCCCTGCCCTTGGAGTCCTGACTGGCGAGGGGATGGCCTCTCCACCCCCACCCAGCACAGCCTTAGTTGGCTATACAGCTGGCAGAAGATCACACCCCTGCTGACAAGGTCTCTTCCTACTGGAGGATGAGGATGCCATTCGGGTAGAGGCTACAGAAGAGGACATGTGCAGCATGTACAGGAAGCAGCCTGGGTGGTGGCCCCCATGGCATGTCTACACCGCCTGCATTGACAGACTCAAGGTAGTGGGGCTCGCGCTGGCATTCTGAAACTAGACAGCTCTTTGAAGTTGTGACTCAGGCTGGTGCTTGGGCTCTGAAGCCTAAGGAGGGGAGTAGGCTTCAGAGCCTGAGTTCCAACCACAACTTCAAAGAGCTGTCTACACAGCTGGTTTTAGAGCGCTGGAACAAGCCCTGCTAGCCCAAGTCAGTTGACCTGGGCTGGAAGGCTCAGTGCTGTGGGCTGCATAGTCATACCCTATGAGCTTGTGTAACCACCACATGCAGAGAGCAGGGCAACCTAGAAGAACACAGAAATGTTTAGAAGAGAAGTGTGGTAGTTGCTGAATGTACTTAGTAGCTATTTCTAAAGCTGTACTGAAAGTTTCCATTAAGGGCAGGCAGTCTTGCAGGTACCACACATTCACTCTCTGAGAGCAGAGCCAATCCGAGTTCTGGTGGAAAGGTTTATAAATATTGGAGTTGCAGACAGCCCGCCAGACTTAGCGACTGATCAGTGCAGGACCAAGAGATGTGTCTGCTGTGGAAACTGTATCCTAACACCTGTGCAGCTTTGGACAGAGGCTGAAGCTCTAGAAACTGTGGAGACTATTGGCTATGGGACTGGAATTGCTGTTGACTGCGTGGAGCTTCTGACACTTTTGCTGAGGAGATTCTGAGGTGTTTGGCAGGGTACTGAGAGGCTGCCATTTTCCTTGGGCTCTGGAGAATCCAGGTGACACCTACATTTTATGTCAAATCTCTGAGGGGAATGTAGCTGCATGTGTGTACCAAAGAATAAAAGTTGATATGGTCTGTTGAAACAGGGGACTGATCTATATAACAAAATGGGGAAGTCTGGATAAGTAACACCAATAGGTTGACCCTCTAGTAGCTTTGTTTAAGAAATTATTCAAAAATACTGTTTGCAAACATGTGTACGTATTAAATGGTTGTTCACTAAGAAGTTGTATGGTACTCTCTCTCAAGCTGACTGGCAAATGTTGTTAACATTGACACCATAGCTCTGAGGTTAACTCTGTGTATGTTTTCTTTATAATCTTCTGCAAAGAATGTACTCTGATCTGTGCTTCTGCAGAGCAGTAAGCTGCGGTGCAGGAAAAAGGAGAATGTAGAAGTTATACATATTACCTCAGCACTCCCCCAGCCTATTACAATTGACTACATGCAAGAATCCCCCAGAGCCCATGGGGAAGAAGGTACCGTGATCTGTAGGGTGACCAGACAGCAAATGTGAAAAATGGGGACAGGGAGTGTGTGTGTGGGTAATAGGAGCCTATATAAGAAAAACACCGCAAAATCGGGACTGTCCCTATAAAAATCAGGACATCTGGTCACACTAGTGATCTGTGACTATGGGACCAATGTAGCTGAGCCATTTGGACTGTTTGTTTGCTGACAATGGTGTTGAAGTGATTCCTGGGTGTATTCCTGCTACTCCAAAGGCTGAAGGAGGGTTCTCCACCCCAAGGCAAGGGGTGGAAGTTAGGTTTTTCCAAACTTCAGGAGAGAAGCCCCACCACACCAACAAGCAACTTCTTCCTGCTATGGAAGCCTGGCTCAGACACCCCCCACTTCCTGTTAAGGATTCATGCTGAACACAATAGTTCCATCAGTTATTTCCTGTACCAATAAGTACTGTAAGTAGAATGACCACTAGAGTGCACTCACATCATAGAAATTAGGAATGAAATGTCTTAGCTCATCTCTGAAGCTAGGGTTGTTTCAAGTACAGTAGATTTCCTAGTGCTGTGTCCAGCCTAGCTTAGAAGTCCCAAGGGATGAGGCTTCCATTACTTCCCTTGGGAGACTATTTTACAGCTGCCCTAATGCCTCTCTCCACCAGGAAGTTTCCTCCACCTCCCTGATATTCTGCCTAACTGTTAGTCCCTTAGTTTCATACCATTATTCCTCATTATATTGCCACGAAGCAGCTTAAACAATTGCAGGCTCTCAGTGATATTCGAGTGACTGGCAACCATTACTCAAAGCTAAATTATCTAAGTACTGTAGATCCTTAATTCTCTTTGTTGTTCTCTCTCTCCCCTTTGCATGCACATGTTGCTGTGCCTGCTGGAGCCCCTGGAAGATGCCTATTCCTTTCAGACAAGGAGGTTCAGGCCAAGCCTGGCTATAGGACAGGACATCACTCCTCCCTAGTATTGATCGGGGGATCATGCTAATGGCTAGTAGGTCTGTACTTCTATGAGCAGGTGCTCCATTCCTGTGACTGGGATCAGTCTTGAAGAATGTTCTCCAGCAGACAGGGAGACCTTTACCCAGTGCAGAATTGTAACCAAGTATATTACCCTGTTCTACAGAGAGAATTAGTATTTACAGTCAGACCCTAATAATCTATCATCCCTCCAATCCTATGGGAGCAAGCTCAGTCATGGAAAAAACAGCAAGGTACCTCTCTGTCTGGAAACTTAACACATTGATCCTCCCTTCCTTTTTAACAGATACAGACACTTGACTGCAGGAAGAGGCCTGCAATCTCTCTCTGTCCAGCTGCAGCCAGTCAGACCTGCAACTAGAGACTGTTGGGATTGGCCTTGCCCCAGCCTCCAACCCCATTACCAGGAGGCAGCACAGAGACTTGCCTTGAGGAACAGCAGTCCAGTCTACGAAGAGTTGCTGCAGAAATACCAGGAGCTGGCTGTGTCTGGGAGACAAACAGGGTTTTGTAACCCTCCCAGCAAACAGAACCCAGAACACTAGAGGGGCTAATTCTAAGGCTCAAGAGGGCTGTTGGGGGCGATAGGCAGGGGCCCAACTATGTGGGATTGCACAAGCCCTTATGCCAGAGGACAGCAACCAGCATCCCAAATACTGAGTGCGCACTGGTGATGCAGGCAGGATCTGCCAGCAATCAGGCACCCCCAAAACAGCAAGATATCTCTGCCACTTGATATCAAAGATCATCATCTAGGAACCTCCACTACAAAAACACTAATGTAACAGCTTGGGAGTCCCCAGCACTGGGGCACACCTGCAGCGCTTAGGTAGTACTAAGTCATGTTGATTGCCTGTATTTCCCTTTGGCATCTTGGATTTCGGATGTTTACTGTTGAGCAGGCCTGCATTCTGATAGCCCTAGGGTCTCTGGCACCTGCCCAGGAAGATCTCCTTCTCTTTCCATCTGTGAACTAGGTGGGTGCTGAGCTTACAGGTATCCCCAGCTACAACCAGGAAGTCCTGCTGCCCCTCTTCAAGGTTGTCCACATCAGAGATCAGGCCCTTGATTCTTGTATAAAATGCTGAGTAGGTGGGTTGAAGCTTTCAGTTTGATTTGTGGTGGATGGGAGCATGTGGTGCTTGGTCAGGATGAGTGGGAGTGGCCTGTTACTAGGAAGAAAGCTTAGTCAGTGTCTCTCTCTTGGTCTTTCGGTCAATGGTACGGAGAGGTGTGTGGCTTGGTTGACATAGGGTTATGGGGGATTGGGAGGGTCAGTAACTGGGTGCAAGGCCTGGCTGGCATTGAGGGGGGGGATTCTGTACCTGGGAGGAGAGCTCAGGGTATGTGTGGGGTGGGTATCAGGGCAGAAGGACAAGTCAGCATGGGGTCCCATGGGACAGACAG